GTTTTGTCACCTACTTCACTAGTATTTTGTGAGGAACATCTTTCCTTGCCAACACATAAGAGCTGTAATTTTTAATGGCTGAAATAGGTTGATGGTTTGGCCCACCAGCTATTACATGGGAGAAAGATGAGGTTTTCTGCCTCTGCAAAGAATTAAAAAGCCTTGGAAACCCTATACAGGGTCTCTATGAGTCAGAACCGACTCGGCGGTACTAAACCACAACAACGTATCCCACCATCTAGTATCAACCATATTTCCAGGCCTTGCTGTTGTTTTCAAGTTTTTGCTCTCAAAAACACCACGTGCATTTTATTATTTTTTCAATTCATTTAACTAGAAGTGGAATTACTAATAAAAAGATAATGCTTTTGAGGCCTTTGATACACACTTTCAAGCAGGGAACGGCTGGACCTCTGCCTGGACCTAGGAGTCTGTTCGTGTGTGGTGGGGCCCTTCACTGCTACTCTGTCATCGTCTCGGACACTCTGTGTTCACTTCATCTTATTTCATTTGCGATCCGGTTTAAAGAAAACATCTTAAAGGAGCCTGAGGTAGAAAAGACAAATTCTGGAGGGTGAGCAGCTTGAAGAGAGGTGTGTGTGTGTGTGTGTGTGTGTGTGTGTGACAGAGAGAAGGGGGTGAGGTGGTCCACCACTGGTCATAATGCAGGAGGGATGAGGACACTTGGATGACACATCTATGGACCCCCGTCCGTGTCAGCCCACTCCTACTTCCCTGCAGCCAGACTGTGGGGCTGGGGGCTTGGCCATCAGCACCAGCTCTGGCCTGTGAATGTAGATGTTTGAGGAGAAGCTCTCTGCGAACTCCTGGCCACTGCTAGCGCTCTGCCTGCTGGGAAAGGGAGTAAGTCTCTGCCCCACACCTGTGCCCATGCCGGCAGCAAGTCCCACCCCTTGCCAGTCCTGACATGATCAAGGAGGTGGTGCCTCCCACTCACAGAGCCTGGGATTTTGTCTGAATCACATGACCATGTTCCGGGTTTTCTTTTCCCCTCTTTGTTGCTTTTAATACATAACAAGAGCATGTGTTTATTGAAAACAGCTTTCAAACTTAAACAAATAATGACAGATTGTTCAAACAGCCTTCAGAAATTGCCCTAATCAGGATGTTTGAAAAAGCAAGTAGTCTCCATGAGAGTAGCTTGGGAACATGTTCAGTCCTCAAACCACAGGATTACTGTGCACTTTGGGATCTTAGTGGACAAAGTTTAGGAACCAGTTTCAATCTCCCTGTTTTAACCAGTGAGGAAACCAAGGTTCTAGGGGGTTAAGTGGTTCAACCTCAGCCCCTCTGCCTAAGAACTGATGAAGAGGTATAGTATTGCATGGCAAGCATGTGTGGTTGTTTCCTAGCTTCAGCCAGGACATGGAAGGTGGGGGCTGCTGTTCGGTGCTGTTGAGTCGGTACTGGGGACACATAGTGATCCTGATCCTGCACCAACCTCACCATTGTCACTTCATCTTCTGGCACTGTATTGACAGTGTTCTACTGCTGTTCATAAGGTTTTCAGTGGCTAACACTTCATAGAAGTGATCCGCCTTTCCTTCCTAGTCTGTCTTAGTCTGGAAGCTGAAACTTGCCCACCATGGGTGACGCTGTTGGTATTTAAAATACCGGTGGCATAGCTTCCAGAATCATAGCAACCCACAACCTACCACAGTATGACAAACTGGCAGACAAGACACGCAAGGTTAAACACTTTAATTCACAATTTCTACTAGAACCATTGACCCATTTCAGAACTAACAGCTGCCTCATTTGAGGGAGCTGGGGAATTGCTTCTGTAAAATTTGAGGCTCATTGGGACATCTGGAAGGGGGAAGGGTGGGTAAAGTAGGCATGTGGCAGGTCTGTAAGAAGGTCACGCTTGCTCCAAGTTGTTCATTCTTCCAGTATATCACATTCGGAACCACACTGACAAGTGTTTTTGAGTCACCGACTTTAATCTTCCCAACAACCAATTTTATGGATGGAGTAAATGAGGCTCGGCACTGGATCGTTCCCATGCAGAGCTTCTCCCACAAGTCCAGACCACGGTGTCTACTCCTCGGGTCACTAAATGCCACATTATCTAATCCAACTCTAGACTGCACACGAGAAGTGGTTCATTAGACTCATTAGCAGCGTAGTTATTTGCAGCAGGGGATGGAGGCCATGAGAAGGAATTCTACCAGCCCTGGAAAGAAAGAGATGTTTGGGGGTGCATTCCTCTGCCCCACCCTCTCCAGTACCGTGACCAGGCAAACCCGAAGTTAATGCCAACTGAGCATGTCCCTTCTTGCTTCCATGTCCAGAAAGGGCTTCGCTCAGAAGGCTAGACTGACTCCGAATCTGACTTGGCTTCAGAAAACGCCCTGGGTAACTAGAGGAATTCAAGGCCCCAGATTAGTTCAGTTGAGTGGCACCCACAATACTGGCAGGGCTCCAGAGAACGGGGCTGTCCTTCCAGCGGGGGCTGTTGTCCCTCAGAAGAAGGGAGGGCTGTTACTGCTTCAGCTCTGTGTGACCCTGAGGTACATCTGCAAGAGGCAGAGTTGCCCCTGTTTATACATAGACTCTGATGCCTCAGGAGCCCTTGATCCTAATTACGTGACGAGAAGGTACGTTGTTTGATAAATAGTCATGACACCGTACCCAGTTGACATTCCATAATTCACAAAGATAATGTTCCGCATGCTGTTTTGTGAGTAGATCGGGGGTCTTACAAGCTTGGGAGCGGCCATCTATTGGTCTCTACCATACAGAGCACAAGAGAATGAAAAAAATCAAGGCTCACAGAAGGAACTAATCCACAATGCTAAGAGCTGACGCGAATCACAGACTCTTCTAAACTGAGACTGAAAGAGCTAGATGGTGCATGCCTGCCGCTACTGATCATTCTGCACAGGGACACGAAAGAAGGTCCTAGATAGAATTGGGGTGAGGGCGGGAGTGAGGATCATAGAACTAACTAAAACTCCTGTGGCAAGCCAGACCTACTAGACTAGGAATAGAGGAAGCCCTGAGATTGTTTGCCGAGGACACCTTTTGAACTTGGAATCAAAGCTTTTTCTGCAGGACACATTTACGCCATGTAACTTGTGAATAATGTGCTCTCTTGAAGAACTAACTTGTCAATTCAGTTCTGACTCGTAGCGACCTTGTATATGGTTTCCAAGGAGTGGTTAGTGAGTTTGAATCACCAGCCTTGTGGTTCAAAGCCATCTTTCGGTCCAGTGCATTATCCCACAGTACCACAGCAGAACTCCAAAGCATTAAATAGATGAAGCCAAATGGTCAACATTCAACCAATAGCAAAGATGGGAACGCTAGACCAATGGAAGCAAAAGTAACACTAGGAGTAATGTCTCACAAGGAGAATTTTTTCATTCTCTTGTACGCTGACACGCTGTACAAATGGCAACCCACAGAACAGAACACATGGTAGAGGGCAGGCACGTGTTAACTTAGGTGATGAGGAAGACTGCTTAAAAAGAGAGGAGAGCAATTATAACCAATGGCACACACAATTTGTATAAAAATTGTTACAAAAGGAACATAGTGAAATGTTTTTTTAAAAAAGGTGATTTAGTGCATCTGAAGGAACAGTTAGTTGTTAAGTATTGTCGAGTCAGTTCCAACCCATAACGACCCTGTATAGGGTTTCCAAGGAACAGCTGGTGAGCTTGAACCACCAACGTCATGGTTCAAACCGACTTTGCAGTCCAGTGCATTAACCCACAGCACCACACCAGGACTCTTGAAGGAACAGAGGATTCACTTATTAGTGACCAGTTCCTTGACTCACCTGACTGAATTACCTTGGTGCTGTGGGTACATGCTGCCGACTGGTGGGGACCTGTATAACTGCATGAATCTGAAGAAATGAGCCTTACCCTACCATCTCTTCAACCAGAGTCCACTTGGGACATATGTGTCCCACATAAGTGTATCAAAATCCATATTACCTTAAACATCTTTCTCCTGAGTTCAGCATACTGAGTGGCTGGTGAGTTTGAACCGCCGACCTTGCAATTCAAACGAACTTGGGTTGAGTGCTTATCCTACTGCGCCCCACCAGGATGCCATACTATCACATGGGATTGCTAGGAATCAGCATGGACCCAATGACATCAGCCACTTGTGCTTGGTTGTTATGTTTTATTATTTTTATAAAAGTCCAGGCAAACTAAACTCTCAGAAGTTCCTGACTGCCTTTGCTGTTTCCTCTTAGCACTTACCAACCAACCAGTTCCCATGGAGTCTACTCCCAACTCATGGCGCCAGTGTGTATATCAGAGAACTGTATTCCACAGTGTTCTCACTGGCTGAGTCTTCATAAGGAAATTCCACTCATGCACCCCTGAGTGTGTCAGAGTAGAACTGTGCTCCACAGTGTTCTCACTGGCTGAGTCTTCATAAGGAAATTCCACCAGGCACCCCTGAGCGTGTCAGAGTAGAACCGGTCTCTACATTGTTTTCAGTGGATGATTTTTCTTAAGTAGATTCCACTCATGGTGTCCCCATGTGTGTCAGAGTAGAACTGGTCTCTACATGTTTGCAGTGGATGATTCTTTATAAGTAGACTCCACTCATGGAGCTCCGAGTGTGTCCGAGTAGAGCTTATCTCCACATTGTTCTCAGTGGATGATTTTTCACAAGTAGATTCCACTTAGAACTGTGCTCTACAGGATTTCCAATGACAACAGTTTTCTGAAACAAATCAGTAGGCCTTTTCCTGAAGCACCTCTGGGTGAACACACACCTCCAACGTTTTGGTAAGCAGCTGAGCCTATGAATCCTTTGTACCACCAAGGGAATCAATCCCCTTAGCACCTAGGGTTATTGTTAAGTACGCGTCAGTTCCTACTCCTAGCGACCCTGTACAGGGTATCTGAGGTGTGGCTGGTGGGTTAGCAGTCCTGTGCTTAGCCTACAGAGCAATGCCAGGACTCTGTCTCTAACACAATTTTTTCTCTTTCCTTCTCTCCCCCCACCAGGATGCATTTGTGGAACTGTACGGACCCAGCATGCGGCCGTTTTTTGATTTCTCCTGGCTGTCTCTGAAGACTCTGCTCAGTCTGGCCCTGGTGGGAGCTTGCATCACCCTGGGTGCCTACCTGGGGCACAAGTGAGGTCACCCAGTCTGCCACAAACAGTTATGCAAGAGGTTCATGAATGCAGTAGAAATAGTACACAGCATTAGTGAGGTACCAAGGAAAGAAGCTGTGGTCTCTTAAAACACATACACACACACACTCACACACACACACAACAAAACACAGAAAAAGACTTTCATGCTCAACATCAAATCAGCTATTTACTGCCAAAGGGAAATATCATTTATTTTTTACATTATTAAGAAAAAGATTTATTTATTTAAGACAGTCCCATCCAGTGTCCTGTCTTTGGAAACCCCACCACTCATTGCTGAGGCCCACTCTGGTGGCCCCATCGGACTCTCCTGTGCCTACACACATGGATTTGTGTGCCACGCAGGCTGCATTCACTCTCCATTTGAAGAGCAAACAAACTGGCAAAGGGCTTGACCGTCAGAGAAGCCAAAGTGTGGCCACTCCAGGCCAGGAGGAAGGGGGCTTTCATATTAACAGAGTGGCTGGAAGTCTAGTCTTCCTGCATAGGATTCACATGGTACAAACCCAGTTAGAGGAAAAGAACCAGGACATTTGGGTGGACATCGGTGTCCACTGAGATTTCCACGCTGAAAGGCAGCAATGGGGGGAGGAGGGGGGGATACCTTTAAACCATAGGAAAGTATTTTTTTAAGCTACCAATTGTGCCGAGAAACATTTTAACAATGTATCGAATATCATCCAGTACCTTAAGCCCTGATGTGTATAGTCCTCTATCTTGAATCTGCCCCTCCGAATACTGGCTCCGTCTGAGTAGGAAACAGGATCCTTTGGCATGTGAGGAAGCAAACGCTCAGTGACTTCTTCAGCATGGGAAGGCAAGTTTCCAGAAGCATCAGGCCCCCACAAGTGCCTGCTTTTCCAGGAGAACTGAGCCTGGGCACTGGCTGGCCTCCGAGAGGGCTTGTCAGCAGCATGTGGTCTCCAAGTGTTTGCAAGCTGATGGAGTTCAGAAGGCCACTGTTGAGAAGTAGCAATATCCAGACTCTGCCTGGGCCTGCTGGGCCTGGGGCTGGCTCTCAGGTTGGGCCCATTTCCCCACAGAGTCCGAACCTGGGCACCACAGGCTTTCTGTTTGGATCGCTTCATAAGACTGACTCAAGGAGCAAACGGGGAGTTGTAGCAGAGAAGTGTATCACTGTGGAGGGAAACTGAGGCACAGCTCCTTTCCCGGAGGGGCCTGCCGGGGCATGGAGCATGCTGGGAAGGTTGCAGAAAGGAGATGGCATCTGAACAGAGTGACCTGTGGCTGCAGTTTCCAGAAAGGCTTTAAAGGACATTGGGGAGGGTCATAAACCGTAAAGGAAGTGTTGAACTGAGGTGTGTCACTAATTAACTGACTTATATCTTTAGAATTACAGTGTAAAACATTATCTTGTCATTGTCTTTTGGTTTTATTTGAAAATCTGTCAGAAAAAAAAAAAAAAAAAGGCTCCAGGTGTGGAATGTGGGGGTTATTGGTACATCCTGGGGCAATTGAAAAAAAAACGAAAAAAAAAAAAAAAACCCAGAAAAATCAGTGGTGGGAATTATAGAGACGTAGCAAAAGAAGTGAAAACTCCACAGTTCATATACTAGAAACGATTTTTTTAAGTTTAGAATCAGCCTTGAGATATACATGGAATAACTTTGTGGCATTATTGCATTATATACCATTTATCTGTATTAACTTTGGAATGTACTATGTTCAATGTTTAATGCTGTGGTTGAGATTTCAAAAGCTGCTTTAAAAAGAATACATGCATCTCATCATTTTTCTTAATTGTATTTAAGAAAAGAGCATTTTTTTGTGTGAGCAGAAAAGAGCATTTTTCCATTTGAGATTTTTTTTTTTTTTGGTCTCTTATTTCTTCAAAAGCATTTTCCAAGAAGGTGAGGCACCCTGGGTCTCACTGAGCAAACTGAGAATCCCTGGAGTCTGCTCACCAGGAGGAGCTGAGCTTCACCTAAGTTACTCACATACTCATTTACATTTCAACAGGATTGTTTACTATGACGGATACATCTGTGGTCCCTTTGACCATGTTCCTTGAAAGTTAACTTGTCTGCCCCTGGGCAATTCAGAATTTAATTCAGAGTTATTTAGGATCACACACATGTTTGGTTAAACCCATGAAGTTCATTCAATTGAAAATCCAGGTGGGATGTTACCAGAAGATTCAAATCTGGTTGAATTAAAGAGAGTGGCTTTACTTGGCCTGCTTAAAGACCCCCATAAAGAACCTCACTGCCTTCCTTCGGAAGGGCTTTTGTGACCACCCTTCACATTCTTCCTGAAACACAATGGCACTTAACGTTCCCCAGTGGCTGAGAGCAGGAAACTTCTGGTATCAAGTCAGACCTCCCGGTGGGCCTCAGGGAACAAGATGATCAGACCTTTGAATGATCCTAATATTTTTAGCAAAACGTTATTTTATAAAAGGTTTACATTGTCAAAAGTTATAAATATGGAATATCAAATCCTGTGCTGCTATCCTGCCAAGATCATTTATTTCCATGGAGTCTGTGTGCAGTACTCTCCAGGGGGTGAGATTCTCCAAGCTGCTTTAGAAGTGACAATGAAGAGGAAGGACTTTTAATATAAAGCCTGTTTGTTTTTTGTTACTATTGTTGTTGTTATTGTTTAAACTGGGATTTGCAGAGCATTCAAAAGCTGTGTATATATATATATATATAAAAGGTCATGGTGGTTAACTTCTGGCTGGTTTTCTTGTGCTGTGGGGTTCTGCTATCTGGTTGTAACCATAAATGTGCCACACCACCTGACCCCAGAACTGTACAGTGTTGTGGCTGCCGTCACTCTAAAGAGCAGTTGCTGTGACATTTTTTTCTTGTTGTTTAAAACATGTTAGAAGCAATGAATGTATATAAAGGCCTCAGCTAGTTATATTTTCCCTCCTCCTTTCTTTTCATTGTCTCCATCATTTTGCGAACAGACAACCGAGAACCATTTCGTATCGAGAAGGGATTCACACCTGAATAATAACTCCTCTTTACCATCCACATGGAGTTCTGCTGTGGCGCTGCAGGATAATGCACTGGACCAAAAGGTCCATTTGAACTGCAAGGTCAGGGGTTCAAAACCCACCAGCCACTCCTCAGAAACCTTTTACGGGATCGCTATGAGTCAGAATTGACTAGATAGCACTTAACAACCATACACAACGGTGACTGTGTTGACTAGGGTCAGGCTCAAACTGAACACAGGCACTTTCCAAATTGGAGTCAAAGACTCTAACAAAGAGCCTGTGAGGTAAAAACCCGCAAGGTTCTTCTGTGTCTCCGTAAGCTCTCAGACACAAGGACTCTGGAAGGGAGACCAAAAGACAACAGCAAACATAGCATCAGAGACTAACAGGGCCTGAGAATTCTTGTAGGTTAACGGCTCATATGAAGGAG